CGGCTACAGCCACAGCTATAAGAACCTATGGAGGCGACTCCGACGACTTCTACGGTCACGTCAACGACTACTATCCTGATTAATACTCGTCATATGATGGAGGCACCGGCTACGGGCTACTACGCCGACTACTACTCGTCGTACAATAGTGGGTATGGAAACTGGAAATGGATACTACCCGGACTATATACTCTTCTTACGGCTACCCAAGTTACGGCGGTTACGGCAACTTCAGCTACGAGTACCCGGGCTACTTTTGATATGAGTCGACCACAGCGAGTGTCGGTGCTACTGGTGACGAGAAAGAGTCTGCGACTAAGAATGGTCAGAAGGAGTCTGCGACTGTGTCTACGGACACTGCGACTGTGTCTACGGACGCTGCCGACGTCAAGTCGGTCAAGAAGGAGAGCAAGACGGAGTCAAAGGCGTCGAAGTATACCAAGTCGGACGCCACCGACAAGTCGAAGGACAAGTAAAATCAAGCTGAACCGTGTAGTATATGGGCGAAAGACGTTGTAAGCCCGCGTTGAACTGTGACGCCAACGTGCAATCACTGTCAATTTGCGTGAGTTTGCAAAACAAACCTTGTGTCATATACAAGTAAGACTCATCAGTGCATTCATTTCTCTCCTTATGCAGTGCTCCGCTAGTGGAGTCGTGTACAGCAGTGGTGTAGGGCTTGTTTGAGTATCCGTAGTAGTAGTAGTAGTGGCAGTAGCAGTATCCGTAGTAGTAGAAGTAGTAGTAGTGGCAGTAGCCGTAGTGGCAGTAGTCGTCGTCGTCGTCGTCGTAGTAGTAGTAGTAGTAGTAGTAGTAGTAGTAGTAATAGTGGAAGTTACTGAAGGAATTGAAGTTGTTTTGAAGTAGTAGTCCAAAAATTGCTGACAAAGTGATACAAGTGGCCGCTGTTGCTGTTTTTTTGTTGCAATAATAGTACCTCGAAGTATTAGATTGGGTAAGTATTCGCGTGATCCTGCATTCTCAAAATACGTCTAATATACTTCTCCTAGACCGTGATGTCTGCATAACTACAGTTTGCAGTCTATCACTTATTGTTGACTCGACTCATTCTCTCAACGCTTCTCTCTCATCGTCTTCTCGATCAATCACAGCGAGCGAAGAAAAACAATGCCACGACGAGGGGTGACCACGATGGCTGATGCAACATCAACGCCCAGACCGCAGCTCGATCGGACTAGCCTCCTCGCTCTCTCACTTGTCATCTCGCTTCCTCCCTGACACTCGACAACCAACCTCCAGCTCCATCAACTAGTTTTGCAACTGCCCAACAAGATGCACTCCAAATTTGTCGCCATAGTGGGCCTGTGTGTCGCTGCTTCTATTCTGCATGCGACTGACGCTGCTAATAGAATGCCCCCACGTCGTCAACTCGGGTCTTACAAGGACTACGGCCACAGCCAGCACAAGCACGACCACGACCGCAAGAAACACCACCACCACGACAAGAAGGACCACCCGCACTACTACCGTCGTCGCCTGGACGGTAAGGACGCCAAGGCTACCGATTATAAGGACACCAAGGCTACCGAGTCTTCGGACTACAGCTACGGCAAAGGCGATTATGGTCACGGGCACGACCACCACGGCTATGGCCATGATGACTATGGTCACGATGACTGTGGCCGCGATAGCTACGGCCACGATGATTATAAGCACAGTGACTACACGCACAAAGGCTACGGATACGGTAGCGGCGACGACTACGAGGGCTATGGTAGCGGCTACAGCTACAGCTATAAGAACTATGGAGGCGACTCCGACGACTACTACGGTCACGGCAACGACTACTACCCTGATTACTACTCGTCATATGGTGGTGGCAACGGCTACGGCTACTACCCCGACTACTATTCGTCGTACAATGGTGGGTATGGCAATGGAAATGGATACTACCCGGACTACTACTCTTCCTACGGCTACCCCAGTTACGGCGGCTACGGCTACTCCAACTACGGGTACCCGGGCTACTTTGGTTATGAGTCGGCCACAGCAAGTGTCGGTGCCTGCGACTGCGAATGGTCAGAAGGAGTCTGCGACTGTGTCTACGGACGCTGCCGACGTCAAGTCGGTCAAGAAGGAGAGCAAGACGGAGTCAAAGGCGTCGAAGGAGACCAAGTCGGACGCCACCGACAAGTCGAAGGACAAGTAAAATCAAGCTGAACCGTGTGAGAAAAGTAGTATATGGGTGAAAGACGTTGAAAGCCCGCGTTGAACTGTGTAGCGTAGAAAACTAAAGTGGCAGGTGTAAGGAATACAAAGCCAATGGATGTGATCGCTTTACCATGTTAAAGTGACATGTGTCCCCGAATTATCAGTTGCTAAAGTCGTTTGCGATGTGGATCAATGCTCCGATTGCAGCAGCGGTAGCGTAGAAGCTTACGATATAGAGTAGAAACCAAGAATTACAGCACGCGGACGTGCAATCACTGTCAATCTGCGTGAGTTTGCAAAACAAACCTTGTGTCATATACAAGTAAGACTCATCAGTGCATTCATTTCTCTCCTTATGCAGTGCTCTGCTAGTGGAGTCGTGTACGGCAGTGGTGTAGAGAGCCTATAGACAAGGTGCGGTAGTTGCCCTTGTTTGAGTAGTAGTAGTAGTAGTGGCAGTAGCCGTAGTAGAAGTAGCAGTAGTGGCAGTAGCCGTTGTAGTAGTAGTAGTAATAGAAGAAGTCACTGAATGTAACGGGGTACAAACCAGTGTGCCCCATGTTACATAAAGAGTGACCCGTCACTCTTGTGGATACCTACCTGATTACACGGTCTCGGAACCAGTCATGGCATGACTACTTAGCTCCACTATAGGTAACCTCTAGTTTGTATGTGACCCAAGCTTATAAATACATCAGTCTTAAATCTACTCCTCTAAGTAGCAAACCGTTCCCACTGAGGCCGAGAACACGTGGACTTACGCTCACTCGGGTAGTTAATACCCTTAAGCACTTCCTCTGTGCAAGGTGCTGT